GGTCACGGGGCGCGCAGACCGTGGGGGGCAGCTTTGGGGAGGGGCGCGGACAGGGGGGACCCGGAGCGAGGGAGGGGAGGGGCTGGGCTCCCGTGACAGCGGAAGGGGGAGGCGTCATTTCCAAGGTGGCCGCGCCCACGGCGGCCCCTTTTCCAAGACGGCCGCGCGGAAGTGGGACGCGCGCCAGCAGGGCCACCCCAAGACCCGCGCCTCCCGAACAGCACCGCCCCGCCGCCCCCCGATCTCAAAATGGCCGCCCCCACTGTTCCCCGATTTCCTCGCCTCCGCGATCTGTCTGCTCTCAAAATGGCCGCTGGCCTGCTCCCCAAACCCGTGCGGGCGCCCCGGCGCCCGGCGCGAACCTCTGCCCGCGGAGCTGACGGCAAGATGGAGGGTTGCAATGGCACGGGCATCCGGGAAGGGGGGCCAGCCAGGCGCCGGGAGCGTGGGCCTTGACATTGGGGATCCCTTTGGGACGCTCGCCCCGCCGCGGAGTCACCGCCTCCTTCCCCCTGCAGCCCCGTTCACCTTGGGGCGCCCTTGGCGTTGGGTCTCCCCAGTGCTGGCGACGCCGAGGCGGCTCGCTTCTGAGCTCACCCGGGCTGCCCTGCTGCCACCCCACCCCAGGAAGGCGGGGAGCCCCTGCGATGGAGAGCGCCCCACCCTTCGGGGTCTTTTCTGGAGCGCTGGGGGGCCCTCGGGTGCCACCGAGCAGATGGGCGGCAGGGAGCCCAGCGCTTTCAAAACCACACCGAGTGGCCGGCTTGGGGGTTGCGGGCATGGTTTTTCCCGGCTCTCCGCGACGCCCAAAGAATTCACGTCGCAGAAGCGCTTTTTAAAATCCAAGTAACTTCTAGTTTTCCGTCTCAGAGATGTGCAAGGCCGCTGAAAATGGCCCCTTCAGCGGAGCGCAGGAAAAAAGACGTGGGAAATGGCTGCAGCGAGGGGTCCACAGACCAAGATGATGAAGAACGGAGGGAGGGAAGGAGGGAGAACACAACTAGGTCTGGTCTCAGCTTTGTCTCCTCTCTACACCCACTGGAGAGGGTGGTGGAGGGTATTAGCCGTTCGTCCTCTGTGGTTGCGTTCAGGTGCATGGGGGACGCAGTGTGCAGGCCCACGTTGACCTCCACCTGCGCGTAGGTGACCTTGGTCTGTCCCCGCCCAGCTTTGGAGGGTTCCCGGAGGGGTCTAATGTGTACCTGATTTCTTTCCAGCCCCTTTATTGCGGCATGGCCAGCGAATTTTTGTTTAACGTAGGCATTCAGTGGAGACGTCCCCCCCTTTATCGCAATCTTTCTACCTGTCAGGTTCAAACTGCCAACCATTGGCAACCCAAGACTTAATCCACTATGCCTCCCGGGCTCTCTGAGAAAGACTTTTCTTTGAGAATGATGAGGGCAACATACGTACAAATGTGCTTGACACAATGGATGGATGGATGGATTGTGAAGTTGTAGGAGCCCCCAACAAAATGATTTTTAAAAAAAGCCACACTTTCACTGAGCAGATTTGAACCGGGTCTCAGTGTCGAGTCTGTATTTGAACCAGCGCCACCAAGGAGTCTCTCAAGGAAG